TACTATTTGATAAATCCAAAGACTTCAGCTCTGGGATAAGAAATCACTATTTAACAAAAACTGCTGGAAAAACTGGAAAAATGTACAACAGAAACTGGGCATAGACCAACATCTTACACCCTATACCAAGATAAAGTCAAAATGGGTACAGGGTTTAGATATAAAGACTGATACTATAAGCAAACCAGAAGAGCAAGGGATAGTTTATCTTTCAGATCTATGGAGAAGGGAAGAATTTATGACCAAACAAGAGACAGAAAACATTATAAAATGCGAAGTGGATAATTTTGATTACATTAAATTGAAAAGTTTTTGCACAAACAAAGCCAATGCATCCAAGATTAGGAGGGAAGCAGAAAAGTGGGAAAGAATTTTTACAACCAGTGTCTCTGATAAAGGCCTCATTTCTAAAATATACAGAGAACTAAGTCAAATTTATAAGAATACAAGTCATTCCCCAATTGATAAATGGTCAAAGGATATGAACAGGCAGTTTTCAGAGGAAGAAACCAAAGCTATCCATAGTCATATGAAAAAATGTTCTAAATCACTATTGATTAGAGAAATGCAAATCAAAACAACTCATATCATACCTATCAGATTAACTAACATGACAAAACAGGACAATGATAAATGTTGGAGAAGATGTGGGAAAACTGGAAAACTAATGCATTGTTGATGGAGCTGTGAAATGATCCAACCATTTTGGAAAGCAATTTGTAACTATGCCCAAAGGGCTATAAAATTGTGCATACCCTTTGACCCAGCAATAGCACTTCTAGGTCTGTATTCCAAAGAGATCATAAAAATGGGAAAAGGACCCACATGTACAAAAATCTTTATAGCAGCTCTTTCTGTGGTGGCAAAGAATTGGAAATTGGGGAATGGCTGAACAAGTTGTGGTATATGAATGTAATGGAATACTATTGTGCTATAAGAAATGATGAGCAGGCAGACTTCAGAAAAACCTGAAAAGACTTGTATGGACTGATGCTGAGTGAAGTAAGCAGAACCAGGAGAACATTGTACATAGTAACAGCCACCTTGTGCAATGACTGACTTTGATAGCCTTAGCTCTTCTCAGCAATGCAAGGGTCTAAGACAACTCCAAAGACCCATGATGGAAAATGCTATCCACACCCAGAGAAAGAACTATGGAGTCGGAGTGCAGATGGAAGCATACTATTTGTTCTCCTTTTCCTTTGTTGTTTTGTTTCATTGCTTCATTCTCGAGGTTCCTCCCATTATCTCTAATTACTCTTTACATGTACACTAATGGGAAAATATGTTTAATATGAATGTATAAGTAGAGCCTGTATCAGACTGAAGAAAGAGGGGGAGAAAATTTAAAACTCAAAATCTTTTTTTTCCCCCTTTTTCTTTTTCTTCTTTGTAAGCAATGGGGTTAAGTGACTTGCCCAAGGTCACTCAGCTAGTAAGTGTCAAGTGTCTGAGGCCAAGATTTGAACTCAGGTCCTCCTGACTCCAGGGCAGTGCTCTATCCATTGTGCCACCTAGCTGCCCCATAAAACTCAAAATCTTATGGAAGTAAATGTTGAAAACGAAAAATAAATTAATTATTTAAAAAAAAACTGGAAAGGCAGGAGGGGGCTAGGTTATAAAGGGCTTTGAATGCCAAACAGAACATTTTAACATCTCTGTAAGATGTAAGACTCCTATAAGTTAGCAATCTAGGTATCCTGTATGTATATGTCCTTAGAAACATAGGTAGCCTATGTTTCCTTCATGTCCTTACTTCCTGGGCCTCCCTCGTTTACTCCTTTTCTTCATTTAACAAGAACTTATTGAGTCCTTTTTCTGTGCTATTAGGTGGATAAAAAAAGAAATGTAGATGCTGTTATTAACTTTCCAGCATCTTACAGAGTGGTTGGTTTTAGGTGTTGGGAAGAAGCATTATATAGTTGTGTTTTTTTTGGCGGGTGGGGATGGGGTGACTGGGTTCCTATCCTGTCCAGGGTGGAACTGCATTGGCCACTCATGGGCCTGGTTTCAGTACTGATTGGCACAGAAACTTTGGTTCCATTTTTCTGATCTGGGCCAGTTTGGTCCTCAACTCCCAGAGGGCCCTCCACATTGAGGATGTTCGTAGTGTTGGCACTGGATACCCTGTTTAGCATACTGCAGCTTAGAACTCCTAAGCTCAAGTGAACCATGAGCCTCAGCCACCCCCAGTAGCAGGGGGTGCACCATTGCATCTGAAGTCTCATTTTCACCCAGCAACACTTATTTTGGACTTCTCCGCCTTCTCTACCATGTTCCCAGTAAACTCATCATTGGAAAATTTCACTATCTTGCAAGATCCAATCTGCCTTTGTTACTCATACGTCATCAATACCCCCTGCCCCTTTTCTACTTTATAGGTTTCTTTTGTGTGTTAGATTGTAAGTTCCTTGAGGGGCAGACTTCCTTCCTTCCTTCCTTTCCCCCCTCCTTCTCTCTCTCTCTCTCTCCTGGCTGCATCAAGTAGTTGGAAGGGGCATTCTCTGGGAAGCAGCATGGTATACTGCTGGAGTCAGAAGTCAGGAAGACCTAGGTTTGAATCCTGCCCCTAACACAAGCTGTGTGAGCTTGAGCAAGTCACACATCCTCTCTGAGCCTCAGTTCCCTCATTTGTAAAATGAAGATAACTTCTTTGAGGTTCAATGGCATAATGTATATAGTAGTACTTTGTAAAATCCAAAGCCTTCCTTAAAAAATACCTCAAAATCTATAGTGTCCTCCATCTCTCTTCCTTCCCTTCAGTCTCTGAGGAAGAGACTGCCCTTCTCTTTGCCAAGGCCAATTCTTTATTTATGCCCTTGACACAATCTCTCTCATCTCTGGGATTTTGCCCCTTTGAGCTGTCCTTTGCAAGTCCTTCTGATCCATTGGCTTCTTTCTGAGCTGCCTAACTTCATGCCCAAGTCTCCTCCCAGCTTTTCTCCAAGTTTCTCACCCAGCTACACTGCTTCTGGACTTCTTTGGAACCCTCTGTCTTATTCCCTCATTGGGTACCTTCTCTCCCCTTTTGCATTTCCTTTTGCGTACTGTCTTCCCCCAATAGATTGTAAGCTCCTTGAGAGCAGGGGCTATCCTTGTTTTTTTGTATCCTCAGGGCTTGGCACACAGTAAGGGCTTAATGTTTATTGACTGACTTCCCTCGTCCTTAAAAATCTTCCACTTGACTCTGCCATGCCCTTCAGCCATTGTCCTGTCTCTTCTCTCTTTAACAGGCACCTTCCTAGATAGAGCTGGTTACACTCGCTGAGTCCATTTCTTCACCTGCCATTCACTTCTGAACCCTTTGCAGTCTGCCTTCTGATGCCATCAGCAGACTGAAACTATTCTTTCCAAAGTCAATAAGTGATTTCTTAACTGGTAAATCTGATGGCCCTTTGTTCCATTCTCCTTCTCCTTGACTTCTCAGAGGCACTGGACGTTATAGACCTGTGCTCTCCTTCCTTAGCTTCCTGACAGTGCTCTCTCCTGGTTCTCTTGTCTTTCTGACTGCCCTTTTGCTGGATAATTTATATAGTCTTTTAAACTGTGCCACGGGCTTTACAAATGCTACTCATTTTAACCTCACAACCACCCTGGGAGGTGCTAATATCCTCACTGGACATATCAGGAAACTGAGGCAGAGGTCCAGTGACTTGTACAGGGTTACACAGCTACTAAGAGTCCAAGGCTGGATTTGAATTCAGGTCTTTCTGATTCCAGGTCCAGCCAGCTATCCATCTCTTATCCAATAAACACAAACATCCTCTAAGTCCCTCCTGGGCCCTCTTCCCTCACAATGATCTCATTGGCTTCTAAGGGTTCAATTGTCATCCCTACATAAGTGACTCCTGAATTTTTCTATCCAGCCCTAATCTTTCTCTTGAACTCCAATTCCACAACTCCAGCTGCTTGCTGGACAAATCCACCAGGGTGTACAGTAGGTATACCGATCTCAAATGCAACATGGTCAAAATGAAATTCATTATCTTCTCTGCTGAACTATCCTGTTTCTGTTGAGAGCACTATTTTTCAGTAACCACGACCTACAACCTCAGTCATCCTTCTTCCCTTACCATATATGGCCTATTGCCAAGTCTTGTTGATAATTATCTATAGACAGATCTCTGTCATCAAGGCCTTTCTCTACACTTTGCTATCACCCTCAATCATCTATTCTCACCTAGACTTCTGAAATGTACCCCCCCCCCCACTTGATCTTTTGATTCAGGCTATCTTCTACACTGCTGCTGTGAACTCCATGTTCTAATAAAACCATTCTATTTGTCTACCTCTTAGAATCCCAAGCTTCCTTCAAAACTCAGCTCAAATATAACCTATAAGAAGCCTTTCCTGATTTCCTCCCAAAATGTCCACCCTCACTTCATTGAACCCTTGAGGAAATGAAAGCCACTGAAGGAGTGAGTTGCCCAAGGAAATGTCACACAGTAAACAGCAGAATTAAGATCTGAACCCAGGGCCTCTGACACCGAATGGAGTGTTCTTTCTATATCACAATGCTTCTGTTTCTCCCCTGGGCTTCCCTAAGAGTGGAGGAACTTGGCCAAAGGTCAGAAGTGGCATCCACAAGAACAAAAGGACCAGGTCTCCCAAACCAGAAGACATTTGGACAAGAGGAACTTATTCATCACGGAGCTGGGGGCACTACTGAAAGCTTAAGAACATGCAAAGATTTGTAGTCTTCTCTAGTTGTTCTGCAGGTGTTCACTTTGTTTTTCCACCCACCACTCTGTATTTCCCATAGTCTTAACACCCCTAACAGATGTCCAGTGGTGCATTATGTTGTAATACTGAGAACAGCACAGCATCGAGATAAATCTCGAGCAGATTCTATGACCCCTCAGGGAAAGCCCCCAGAGAGAAGACCAGGTGAAGAGCTTTCAGCCTCCTTCTCTCAAGAGACCACCAGCAAAGGAAGAAAAGCTCCAAGAATCCTAAATTAGCTCCTGGAGGGGGGAAAAAACTACAAAGGACAAACTCAGTGTAGGGTCAGTCAGTTCTTATATATTTAATTCCCATTTATTTAGAGTTCCATCAATTTGTGTACACTATTTATATTAAAAACAAAGGAAGCTGGGGCTCCTAGCAAAAATATACATTTCAGTTTTGAAGATTGTTACGACACAAGGGGGAGCGGCAGCTGTGAGCCTCTGCACAGTGGGGGCTAGAGGAGGGAAAGGTGGGATGGTCAGGCACAGTGTCTTCCTTCACAGCATCAGGCAAGGGCAGGGCCCCCCCCGGGAGTGTGCAAAGCTGTTCCAGGGCGCCTGTCCCTGCAACGGGGGATGGGGGGGTGGGAGGTCCTGCCTCAGGAACTTCTGACTCCAATACCAAGCCAGGGGTGGACTTGGAGAAGACAGAATAAGGAAGGGATGGGGTGGTCTGGTTCCTTCTCCTTCTCCGCCACGCCCCCCCCCCCCCCCAAATAAAAAGCCTAAGGAGTGGGGAGAGGGTAAAGTAGCTGGGATTTCCTTTCTTCCTCTTTTCACCCTCCCCTCCCCAGTTAATCCAAGGCTGCCAGCAGCCTGAAAGGTCCACCACCACCAGTGCTCCCACCTGTCTTCTGGGCTGTAGGAGCCCAGCTTTGGTGCTCCTGCACTGGGTTCTAGTCCCAGTTCTACCAAGTATAACCCGAGGCAAATCACTGTCCCCCTCTAGGAGCTCGAGGGGATGGTCTGCTGTTTCTCTTAGGTATGACTTCCCAGGAATATTCCTAGGCTGTGCCCCAAACCTTAGGGCCTACCTCAAAGGGGAGAAGATACTACTTAAGAAATGGCCTGGACCTCTCTCCGGGTGGTGGGGAGTGTGAGGGATAGGTCAGGCAGGAGAGTGGTGGTTCACAGAAGCACCCAAGATGCTGAGCTGGCCTAGATCAGCCTGTCTGACCTCCTCAGGGCCCAGCAGGGCAGTGGGCTGCTGGGGGAGATAGGTGGTAGTGGGAAGCTTGGAGGAAAAGGGATAGATCCACTATAGGCTACAGAAGATTACACAAAATAAAATATTTTGCTCCCATCCCAGTCACCACCTCTTTCAGCTGAGCCCCTGTGATCAGGTGTTGGCCAGCTGCTGAGTCAACAGAGATGCCCTGTTCACTTAGAATTTCTTGTTCAAACCCTTTCAAAAAAAGGGAATGTAGCTCACCTAGTCTAACAGCCCGGGAGCCTGGGGCCCTGTGTGGCCGCTGAAGCCCTGTCCTGTTTAGGGGAAAGGGACAGAACCTGTGATTAAAGTGAATTCAGTGCTTGTAGTAGGTGCCAGCATGGTGGCTCTTGGGAGTGTAGGAAGGGGTGTTAGGACTTGGGGAGCAGCACCAGCTTCTCCATACCCTAGGAGGAAGGGGGAAGGTTAAGTTCAAACTTGGTTCAAGACATCTAGGTACCGGTTATGGAGCATGGGCAGGGTAGTGTGTGTTAAGACTTAGTAATGAAATGTGGGAGAGGAGGGTGACATGGCTGTATCCCACCAACTGTCATGGTGGGAGGGAGAAGGCCTGGCCTAGTCTTCTGTCTTGGAGGCCTGCTCCAGGCAGGCCTGTGGCTCTCCTTTCAGCTCTCCCCAAACACCTGGGGGTTTGCTGCTCCCAAAGATGCCCAACCACCCTCCTCCTGGACATCAGGGTGAAGGGGGAACAGTAGGGTCCAGCCCCCGTGTCAGTCAGCACCAGAAGCTGTAGTGAACACCAACATGGAAGACTAGTTAAAAGAACAGAAACGATGATAGGTATCTACACGGTCTGCTGCCAAAGCCGGTAATTGACCCCAAGATAATTATTCACAATGTCCGAGGCAGTGAAGGGAGGCCCCATGAGTCTCTGCTGGCGCCCCTCTTCTGGTCTGCATGTTCCTCCCATTTCCTAAGAGTCACCACGCCAAACTTCATCCACCAACTTCCCAGGAGAGCTAGAGAGGAAGCTGGAGACAGCTGGGGGATGGCGCAGTTGGGTTCCAAAGGGGAACAGAATCTTGTCATGCACTAAAGGCTGGGAGGGGCACAGGAGGCCAGCTGAGTGTTTCTTTGGGATGTCTCACACACAAGTCTGACACTATGAAAACGAGAGCCTGAGAAGCTTGGCACCTCCTCCACCTTTCTGTCCCAGTAGAATGGAGGGATTAGATAGGCCTCATCTAGCAAACGGAAAGAAGTAGAGGCCTGTTCTATTTTCTGCTGGTGAGATAATACAACCCTGGTTCTGAGAGACAGACAAAAAGAGGGATAACAGGAGAGAAAGGGAAGGAGGAGGAGAGGGAGAGAGAGAGTATGCATGGGCATGTGCACATGCACATGCAGGCACACAAGCACAAGTGTAAGTTTGGACTACTCCAGGAGTAATGCCAAATGCCTCTGGGCAAAGTCAACGGAATTGGGACGTGGACAGTGCTTCTTCGGGCCTGCCCACCATGTGTCCTTCAGCACCAGGGTATTTAGTACCTGGATAGCTCACATGTGGCCTCGACCACCCGGGGCAGCTCTTTCGTCTCAGGGCTTCAGTACATGTCCTTATAGATCTCCTGAAGCAGCGGATGCAGTGAGGTCTCTGTTTCAGTTTTTTTGATTTTCTGCATTATCTGGGCATGCTCCGTCACCAGCTGCCTCAGGTCTGCCATTTTCTGCAGCAGCTTGGGGAAGAGGTACTGTGCATCGGGGTGGTTGGCTTGTAGGTGGAACTCCAGGGCCCTCAGGATATTGTCTTGAATCTCCTCCACTTGCTTGACATTCATGAGGCCAGGGCGATCTATGGGAAAAAGGGAGTGTTGGGGGAGGGGACTTGGTGGCTCTGTCCAACTCGCTGCCCTCCTGGGTGTGGCCATTCACACGGTAACTCTCCAGGGGGCTCCGCTAGCCTTTCTGGAGCTGGGGCAATACCCTCATTCTCTCCCTGCGTCCATCTGAGATTGCTGACAGCTGCATGGCTGCCTTCGTGGTATGGGACCTTGGGTCAGGAGACGGGGAGGTACCCAGGCTCTTTCTGAACTGGATCCGAAGGTATCACCTAAAACGTGTTTTGCAGGTAGCTTCACTCACTTATAACTGAACTTACCCTGCAGAGCGGAGGGCAACATGACAGAGTGAAAGGGAAATGGCCTTGAAGTTGGAAAATCTAGGTTTGGAGCCTCTGTTCTGTCACTCACTCACTATGGGACCTTGGGCAAGTTACTTCGTGTCCCCAAGCCTATATTCTCACCTGTAAAATGGAGATGATACAAGCAGCACCAATCTTACAGGTCAGCTGTGAAGACCAAGTGTGATAATACCTACAGCTCTTTAAAACTGGAGCTATTACTCATAATTGTGACCCCTTCTTCTACACTGCGGCTGACAAGACTTTCATTCTGCAAGCATGAGCAGTGCATAAGCACTCTGGGCCCAGAAAGTGCCACATAAATGTGAGCTGAGTTATCAGCATCACGGTGCCCTCTGAGGGGAAGAGCTCAATCCTCAGAATGGACATGGGAGGGAGGGGAAGGGGAACTCTGGCACGGAAGAGGCAGGGTCGGGTGGAGCAGCTGGAAAGTGACCAACATGGAACTCAGAGAACTTGAGCTCCGATCTCAGCTCCCCACCAGGGGGATTTCAGGCCAGTGGATCCGAGTTTCCTTAACTGTAAAATAAGGGGGCTGGACCTTTAAGATCCCTTCCAGTTCTAGACCACCAAAGGTCATTAGGTTTGCTCACCTCCACAGAGGATGATGGCAGCGATGAAAAGGGCCAAGTCGCTGTCATCCAGCTCCAGGGCGTTGAACTTGACAGCAAATTCAAATTTGGGCTCGATGATCTCACTGAAGGGTTTGCGAAGACTTCGGAGAAACTCACGTGTCACAAAACCATTGCCATTAGCTACCAGGAGTCCATCCTTGTTCATGATGGAGGCCAGCATGGCAAAAATGGCCTCGTGGACACCGTACTTGAGCAGGGTCACCTGGTCGTTCAGGAAAAGGCTGACAAAGCTGGGGATGCTCTTGGCAAACTCGGTGATCTCACGCACTGTTTCCACCGTGGTGCACTGGCAGCGGTAGAACACGTGCACACTCATCTCCTTGTACTGGGGGAGCCCGTTCACCAGCTGCTTCCAGACCAGCCCCTTCTCTGCCTGCCACAGCGTGTCCATGTCGTGGATCACAAAGGGCTACAAAACCCCAGTGCACCCCCCCCAACCCTAGTTAGATGTGGAAGCCTTGTGTGTGTGAGGAGGGAGCGCCCATGGGAACTCCACACCTCCCCAAACCCCTCGCCCTTGTATTTTTCCACCTCCTCACTCCCCCAGATGGTAAGACTTTCCCAGACACAGCTGGTTCTGAGGCCATATGCCTTCCTGCTATACTCACAGGTGTGCTGCTGGCCTTGCCGGTCAAGATCCCCCGAGCCTTCTTTTTGGTCATGTTGAAGTTTTTCAGGTAGGCATTGTAGATGTGCTTGGAGAAAGCTTTCAGGTCAGCTCCTTGTGGATTTTGCCCCCTCACCTCACTTGCGGTCAATCCCTCTACCAGCTTTCTCTTTTCTGCCTCTGGCATCCGACCAAAGCGAATTGCTGGTACATGGGAATAAGACAAGGTCATTGGACGTGGTGCCAGTGAAGAGGGAGATTCTATCTGTAAACCGCCTCCTGGGCAGGTGCCCACATACTGCTCTGAACATCTCACTGCCTACAGCCATCCAAGCACCATTTATTTATTTATTACTTAAGCACCTACTGTTTGCATAGCTCTGGACCACACACAAGCTGTTTCCCTGTTTACAGCTTTGGAGACCTTTGAAACTCCACTACAGGGCTTAATCAGGTCATTTTTATGACTAACAGCTGGTTATTGCCTTATTCTGCCCCATTCCTGACCTAGGTATCCAGGGCAGATTGTGAGGAGAAAGCCTTCTGTAACAGAAAAAGCCCGGACTGGGGGGGGGGGTTGGAAAACCCCTGCCACTTAACCATACCCATGTGGCTTTGGACAGGTCACTTAGTCTCTCTTAGCTTTACTTTCCTCATCTATAAAGTGAGAACAATAATCCTTTCACAGGACTGTTATGAGGCGCAGGTGACATAATGCATGTGAAAGCACTTTATAAGCTGTAAAGCACTGTATTATTATTGTCAGGGGAGAGGTTTTAATTACCTTCTGTGTCCAGGCCTCCTTTTAAGATCATAGAACACATTTAGGAGCTGGTTTCTTTCGATGAGGGTCAGGGGAGACTTAAGAATTGGGAAGGTTAAAGAGAGGGGATCTATTTTCAAAGTCTCTCAGGAAAACCCCTGTGGCCTGAGAAGTGGAACAGGCAAAAGATATTAAAAGGAAGGATTTGGGAGAAAATTATCTTTATTGCCCATGTACAAAAATCAGAGCTGGAGAATGTTACTTGTAAAACACACAGGAGAAATCCCAGGCCTAAAGCAGATGAAGAGACATTCTGCAACTACTGTCTGTGTAATAAAAGAGAAGCAGGTGGGAGGCAAGGAGGACAGGCCCAGTTTCTTAATGGAAAACGTGAGGGGTCCACATGACCCTAGTTCTCCCTGATGTGGGTCTCCATATTGGACCAGTACAACATGCTCCCTCAGGGCGAGGAATGTTTTATCGTTGTTTTTCTGTCAGTCCCTAGCAACTAGCACAAGGCTTTGCACACAGCAGGCATTAAATGTATGCTGGCTGAATTGGAGGAACAAGGTGCTGACCCGCCCCTGAATAAAGGGCCCTTATTTATGGAGGTGCTGTCAGCTCAGCAAACACTGATTATGAACCTCCTCCAATGTGCAAGGTACTGTGCCCAAAGAATGGATAAATTCTAGGGATCGAGCCCTCTGCTGTCCTTCTGCCTGGCTACCAGCATGACCCACGTGCATTGTCAATTCTGCCGTAAGTACCCTCGAAGGTAAGTCCTCTGGCTGAGTTAAGGCACTCGGCTTGGAAGCTCTAAGGACCGCTCCTACCGCCAAACAGCCTCCCCTAGGGTGTCCTCCCCACAGGAGCTCACTGTCGGGGAGGTCTCCCAGTGATGGGATCCTCTTTCTGGGATTGTTATTCTAGAAGACCTGAGGTTCTATCCATCACTGAGATTCTGTGGTTTACCATCACTCGCTCCAGCCCAAGTAAATGCTCTCTGTGCCTGAAGCACAGACAGGCTGAACACCAGCAGGCACCAAGACGATGACCCTTCCCCAGGACGGAGCAGCGTGAGCAGCCCCACGGCTGCTGCCTTATTCCTCCCCACCCTCCCTGGCACTGTCTCCGAGTACTCACCATTGTGAGACATGCCCAGTGAGAGACATTTCTGAAAGCGGCAGTGCTGACACTTGTTGCGATTCTTCTTCTGGACCTTGCAGCTCCGGTCACATTTCTCATACTCGAGCTTCATACGGACGGTCCTGCGGAAGAAGCCCTGGAGGGCCAGAACACAGAGAGAGACGTGTTAAGGGCCAGGAGGAGGAGGAAGAGTGGTGAAGAAAGGCTTGTGGAGGAATCACGCCCCGCTCCAGCCCTCCTGCCACTAGACTCCAAACCACACATCTCTGGCTTTACTCCACATGACTCCCCGACTGCTAGCTGGCCAGTCCCCGGCCTCAGCCTTGCACTGTACTGGACTGGTCTGCTGGACTCTGGATTTTCATTTGTTACATTTGCCCTCTTCTTCCAAGACCCAGCTCAGGTAACCAATCCTCTGCAAAACCACCCTCATTCCTCCCATCCCTTTTACTTAATGCTTGTTCAGCCCCTACTCAAATGCTCCGAGAGCAGTCCTGGATTTCTCTTTGCCCTCATCATATTCTACACAATTTTATATGTATCATACATATCTCAAATCCTTTTTATCTTTGCACTCCCAGCGCCTACCATGGGGCCTGATACACAGCAGCAGATACTTAATGTCTGCTGAACTGAACTCAATGAATAGGTTCAATGAAAATGCCACGCCAAATTCAGTGATACAAACAGAAATGTAAAATTTCTACAAGTTTTGAAGTATGGGAGAGAATTGTTTAGGCTTTTTTTTTATTTTGTTTTGCTTCTGGTGGGAGAGAATGGAAGAAAAAAAAATTAAGGGTAATATATAAAATGCTTATTTTAAAAAATCCCTTACAACTTCAATTTACTTTGTTAATTTAGGAACACAAAGATGTATTCTATCTAACTTGAGTTGCACATAAATGCATCATGTTTGGTACATTTAGTTTGCAAAAATCTCAGAAAAATGGAAACAACTAACATTTTCCCCCCTTTTGAGGGAAGGGGAAGGTATAAAAGTAGGGCAGGTCTCAGAAAATAGCATTCCTAATTCTTTCCAATTTTTCCCAGGCTTTCAGATTTTTAGGCAGAGGAAGCCTAAAAGCACTGGGTCACTGGCTCAACAAGGTGGTCACAGACTACGTCTTTGCTGTCATTTCAGGTGAGGTCCCCAGGGGGTGCTGGAAGCCCAGAAGGAGGCCAAAGGGAGAGATAATAAAGGAAGGGCCAGCCCAGTGCCACACATGGCCAGCAGGGGGCAAGGGAGGGAGGAACAGAACCACCTACCCCCTTCCCCTCCAGTGGGCTCAGCAGCCACCTTCGGGAACGTTTTGCCCAGAGCTATAATCTTGAATCTGCCAACAGAACCTGGTAAGGTGACCAGGGCTACTACAATTGGGATGGGGGTTGCATGAAGTGCAGGCAAAAGCCAGCAGCAGTCGGGGCCCCTCGGGGCCACTTGTTCTTTCATGACTCCCAGTTTTTTCAACTGCTCCATCTGAAGGGTCTGAGACCCCAGCCAGCTGCCCAGCCGTACCTTGCAGCCCTCACACGCGTGAACGCCATAGTGGAACCCAGACGCCTTGTCCCCACAGACCCGGCATTCCATGTTAAGACTCCCAGAGGAAGCTCCATCACAGCCCATCTGGAGTTGATCCGACAGGGATGGCGAGGAACTCTGAGAAAAGTCTAAAGGGGCAGGACACAAAGCACACTGTTTCACGCTCTGCCAGCATGGGCCTCAAAGGATGGCTGATGCCTAGGACACACAACCTACTGGATGGGTGGGGAACATCCCACTATTTGCCTCATGCAGTTGGTTTGGAGGGATAGAAGTTCTGTTGGAAGCTGTTGGATTTGTTTGGGGAGGATGGGGGAGAGCTTTCAGACAAGGGCTCTGTTCCATTGCTGCAGCTGCATTCGATCCTTAGAAAGTGGCTCCTCTTTGTTTGGGGATGTGCGGCTTGCTTTGTGCAAGTCAGAGTCTGAAGGGGAAAGTCAGAGTCACATGGACTACAGGGTTCTGGGAAAGAGCTGACAACAGGCTGTAGGCTTTGCCTGTCTGCCCATGGGCTGTTTGGGGGCACGTGACTTCTGTCTGCCACTTAAATCAAATTAAACCCTAAACCACAAGGAGTCTACTAACAATCTTCTCAATATTTCTCCTTCTCTGGCTGGGGCATTTCTAGTTAAGAGGACCCTCCTTATCATCATAGGACCACAGCAAGCCAGTGCTGGGAGAAGCCTTAGAGATCATCTGGCTTAACTACTTTATTTTTTATAGATAGGCGCATAGCAGTTTATCCACTCAAGAGTGTGATACACTCCATTAGTAGGTGATAGACATGTGTGTCTCACAATTCCATAGATGACACACATATGTGTGTCTATGTATACATGTGTGTGTGTGTGTGCGTGTGTGTTTGTTTGTAGAGAGACTGCTCCTCCCGGGCTATATGACCCAGAGTTTGAGTAAGATTATTGACTCATCTTTTTCTTTGGAATATTTTTTTGTTGCTGCCCCAGTCAACTCCAAGCCTTGCTTTACTGGACTGTACAGAGCTTCTCCACCTTTGGCTGCAAAGTATATATAATCAGTCTGATTTCTATATTGACCATGTGGTGATGTCCATGTGGAGAGCTGCCTTTTGGGCTGTTGAAAAAGAATGTTTGCTATGACCAGTGGGTTATCTTGACAAAACTCTATCAGTGTCTACCCTGCTTCATTTTGCACTCCAAGGCCAAGCTTGCCTGTTATTCCAATTACCTTTTGGTTTCCTATTTTAGCATTCTAATCCCCTCTGATGAATGTGACAGCTTTTTTGGGTGTTATTTCTACATGTAGGTCTTCATAGAACCAATCAACTTTGGCCCCTTCAGCATCAGTAGTTGGAGAATAGATTGGATTACTGTGGTGTTGAAGGGTCTGCCTTGGATTTGAACAGATATTCTATCATTTTTAAGATTACATGCCAGTACTGCTTTTCTCACTCTTTTATATATTCTTGGGCTCAAAGATCCCTGTAGACAACGACTAAGGCCATGAAGGAAGAAAGGAAAGCTATGGCAAATCTGGACAACATATTAAAAAGCAGAGGCATTGCCTTGCCAACAAAGCTCTGTATAGTCAAAGCTGTGGTTTTTCCAGCAGTAACATATGACTGTGAGAATTGGACTGGAAGAAAAGATGAGCCCCACAGAACTGATGCTTTTGAACTGTGGGGCTGGAGAAGACTTTTGAGAGTCTCTTAAACAGCAAGGAGATCAAATCAGTCAGGAAATTAATTCAGGCTTTTTACTGGAAGATCAAATACTGAAGCTGAAGTTTAAATACTTTGGCCACATAATGAAGATGGGACTCATTGGAAAGATCCCGATGTCGGGAAAGAGTGAAGGCTTGAAAAAGGGACAGCAGAGGATGAGATGGATAGCGTCATGGAAACAACAAACAAACATGAAGTTGGACAGAATTCAGGAGACAATGGAGGATAGAAGGGTCACAAAGAGGTGAACGTGACTGAACGACCGAACATCATTAACTACCTTATCTTACAGAGGAGGTAACTGAGGCCCTTGGAGGAGAAGCAGTGGCAAGCTGAGACTAGAACTTGGGTCTCCTGACGCCACAGTTCTACCTCAGGAATTAGCAATCTTCTAATCCTTTTGTATCGCCCAAAGAGGCTAATAAAGAGCATGATACACATCTACCTGTGTTCCTTCTTCCATCAAGACTCAGCTGAACATCGTAACATCTCCTCAGGCTCATCCAGCTGTGACTACTATCTATGCCCTGTATCCTGGCTCCAGAATGCTTATTTGCACCTGCCTAGGAAGCTAGCCAGCTGCGTGCACAGGTTTGGGTTCCTTGCTCTTGTTAACGTGCCATGCCTGTTTCATCTCCCTCAACAGACCTTGAGCTTTGCAAAGACAGGGGCCATGTACCTTCCTTCCTCTCCATCACCCCATAAAGCTTCCTCTAAGAACTCTGCATCTGAAGATAGATCCACTCTGCTGCTTGTCCCTTCAGTCCTGCTTCCCTTCCTTTAGAGGTTCTGGAGATATGAGAACAATAAAGTAGAAAGGGGGCTGAGCCTGAGTGACGAGGAAGGGGAGACCCTGAGGGACACTCAGTATCTCAGTTCCCAGCCAGCTGCCCAGCTGTTGGTGGGACGAATGGATAAGATAACAAGTGGCCATTTCACAGCATCATCAAAAGGGGCTAGCAATAATCTAAACTGGATCCTCAGAGCTTTTAGACAAAGATGGTCCCGGTGATAAATCTTGCCAAAAGACAGATGCTGTGAGAGTCAAGCAAAGCCTGTAGTGATGTCTGACAGAGTGCTGTGTTTATATTTCATTCTGTGAGGGTTTTCCTTGAGGTGTATTTTGGCCTTGTCTGAGAAGCTGGGGGAGGGAGGGAGGAGTCCAGTGCATTTTCTGAAGAAAGGTTATTTCCATTCTCTCTTCAGTCACTGACCTAGCTTTAATGTTTATGCTGCATCGATAATGGAATCCCACTCTAACACTCCAAAAGATCTATGACCTCATCTATGTAGGACACTCCCTTCAACAATACAGATCCCAGCCCAACCACCCCCACTTATTCTGTGAGATTCTTATCTGTGTCCAACCATAAATCTGTTGGGGCCCCTCCTCTCATTCTTTTTTTTTTTTTTTTTTGGTGAGGCAATCAGGGTTGAGTGACTTGCCTAGGGTCACATAGTGAATGTTATGTGTTTGAGATCGAATATGAAACCAGCTCTCATTCTTTTGACATCACATTGATATTACATGGATACCAGTGGAGAACTTGGGCAGAAAATGAATTGTTACTGGCTTCTAAGTAAAGACTAAAAATTAAAAACAATAGAATCCTTATTCCCCCTTTTGTGTATGTGTGTATTGTGGGAAGAAGGGCACAAAGAACCGAGGGATCAGGCTCTGAGTGTCCTTCTTGGACTGTGACACTATTGGTATGGCTAGCCTTGGTCCAGCTTAACTTCTGCTTGAATGATGGCCAATTCTCAAAATTCTTCACCATCAATTGATCCTTAGCACTGCTGCCTTGAAAAATGGTCTCCAGTTTTATTATACTGAGCTCTACACCTTGGGATGCTCTTGAATTCTAGATTTGGTCTCTTAAGCATAAGGAAAGAGTAATGGATTTGGAATCGGAGTACCAGGGCTCGAATTTCTCATTCTGCCCTTCACTTGACCTGTATGACCTTGGATAATTTAGCTTCCCTGGCCTTCAAATTCCTTAAATGCAAAATGAGGAGATCAGATAACTCTAAATCTACAATCTTACTGTTTAGCAGTGATAGTGCCTGGCACACAGCAGATGCTAAACAAATGCTGGTTGACTTCTCTATGATCCTTCACCACTTTGCCTCCTCCTGCTCTCCTATCTGGCAGCTGGAGGCACAGTGGATAGAGCACCAGGCCTAGCGTCAGAAAGACCTGAGTTAAAATCCAGTCTCTGAACTAGCTCTGTGACCCTAGGCAAGTCACTTGGCTCTGCCTCCTAGCTGCTTCTAAACAGTCTACCTCTACAAGGAAGCCTTCTCTAACTGAAACAGCAGAATTTACTTCAGCCTGAAATGTCCTCAGCTCCTCGAATTTATTTAACCATATCACTAAATGCATGGACCCCTCTGAGTTAACTGTGAACATTTAAATTAAATGAGTCAACAAGATAGGGACCATTATAAACAGCCTGATCTTAGATGGCAAAAGTAAGCACATGGCTACTTACCATGTCTTTTTAATTGATGTATTTGTTTAATATACTCCTGATTCTCTCTCTCCCTATCAAAGATGGTAGGATTGTTTTGTCATCATAGCTTGGGAAAATGGACAAGGAATTTCTACATTTGCTTGCTTTGTACAATCTCACAGCCAAAGACACTGAATAAAGGCTTGTGAGACTGAGCTCAGGTGCTGAGTTGAGGTCAGGACACAATTCTATCAGCATATACAGCTGGATTACAGAAAAGCATCTTCCCATTAGCTGGGGTCTTTACCCCAAACAGACAGAGCTCCACTTTAGCTTGGGGCTTAGGGGTGGGGAAAAGGAATGGCTGAGAGGCACCTGTATCTCTTCAAGCTCGGGTTTAAGCTGCTGAAAATATTCATCCACAAAGAACTTTAGAGCTAGAAGGGACTACCTTGTTTTGGGAGGAAACACAGCTCATAAAAGGTTCATCCAAATATAAATCCTTACCAATTACTTCCAAAGGTTTTTAGAGTTAGGTACATGGAGCTAAGCCCCACCTTTATCCCAGCTAGTAGACAATACTTCCCCACTCTGGAGCTGCTCTGGAAAGCCCCTTTTGTTTCTTACAGTCAGCAGATCATGCTTCACGACCGCCTGGCCCAGGAAGGCCATTCTGAGCCCTTTCTGGCAAGGGAGGGAAGCTGTGTATGTGATAGAATGATCACCACACCACAAATGAGGCAGATGGGGGAGACATGTACTAGAGGTAGTGATACAAGGGAGAGGCTTGAGACAATGGGCTCTGAATCCCCAATAATGGGATGGGAAGGGTTAGGGTATAGATGTTTTCCTAATCAAGGAGGCAGGACAATAGAGCCATTAGAGGAGAAAGTCAACAGTTCCTGCCAGTAGCTCAAATGAGGATAACAGCCTATCTCTCAGTCTGAAGCTGCCTGTAAGTAACATAGAAAAAGCAGAGAAAACCCTCACCTCTAGAATGGTGTTTTAGGCTGGCCCTTATACCATAGCAGCAGCACTGACTGGGCTAGAAGGGAAAAGCAAGAGAGTCAGCTGAGACCTTTTAGTGACAACAAAGGAGAGGCCTAGACTAGTTATCCAGGTGGCTTTTCCCATATGTGTTCCTGAGAAAAGTCTTGTGCTATTAAATTATGCTATGGCTGCCTGGGGCACAGAGATCTGGGCAAAGATGACTACGTGACCACGTAAATGACAGTTACATTCTTCACATTCTTTGAGCCCTTCTTTATGCCTGAAAGGTCAAGGGACATTAAAGAGAGGGGAGAGGGCTAAACAGTCAGAAAGAACTGTGCTCAGGCACAGCATTAGTCAAAACCTGTAGGCTAACAGAGTATTTTATGATTCTCTTCTGCATTTTCCTTTTAATGTACAATAAACACCTTCCTGTCTCTACTTTAGACCAAAGTAAACTTTCAACCCGTGCCATTCCCATTTCACTATTAATTCATTAATAAACAAGAATTTATTAAATGCACAGTACTGTAGAAGAAAGCAAGAAAGAAACCATGGCTGGGGTGGCATGCGACACTCCCTGTCCCAGTGGTCACCTGAAAAAAAAGAAGACCCCGATGATGCAGTCGTTCCTAAGGCATGCGTTGTAGGGGCTGACTCTCAGTCTAGACTTGACCTAGCTTTTTGGCCTTCTCTTCCTAACCAGTGCCAGCTCCAGCACAAACATGCCACTTTGACTCACAAGTGGCAAGTCTGTCTTCTAAGGCCTAAGGATGGTGGGCAACATGCCCACTTAGCTGCCAATGTGAACAGGAAATAACATACCTGTGAACACCAGCTACTGTTTGCCTGAGCAAAACTGAAGATAAACATGGCAAGCTCTAGGCAAAATTGCAAAAGTAGATGAATTTGGTAGCCCCAGCTTCCATTTTTTACTCCCTCTTCTCCTGAGGAGACACACTGTCACTACAGTACTCCAGGGACACAATGTTTTCTTGCTTTCTAGCCCATTCTTCTTTATCAAAAGAGAAAGGACTTGATCGAAGTCAGTGACAGATTTGCTGACTGACACCCCTTCCCCACCCCAACCCCTACCATATTTGTTCTGAAAAGACTTACCTAATTGTGAAATGAAAGGCTTGCTGCTCCTCAGTTAAAGGAATTTAAGGAATCAGCCAACAGGTTGGAGTAGGGGGCTTGTCTTTGCCCTCAAAATCCAACTAGGCCTGAGGCTAGCAACTAGGCCTAAAGCTAGTCATTTTGGGACACCTGGGATGAGAGGCCCTAGATTGTGAGGACTTGTAATTGGATCACCTCCAAGCCAAATGCCATTCCTACTCACCTGAGGAGCAGGAGCAGCTACACTTGATGAATATCTATCCCTGGGGACATGCCAGATATGAAGAGAAGCATGCCCTGGCATCAGTGGTTTCTTGCAGCATTTGCCCCAGGAATCTGCTCTCCTTGGGACAGGTCCTCCTGATTGAGGGGCCCTTTCTTACCCTCCTTTTAGTAACATGTCTCTTCCCATCCCTATGCTCTAACACTCTCAAATTACAGGAATCTAGAACCCATCCTAAACTGTTCTCTCCTGTGTCACCACCAATAGCCAGGATGTTCTATACCCGTTCACAACTGAATGGTGATCATACTGTCACCTTCCTTCGCCCCCACCCCAGGACTTCAAGCAATCCCTAGTGGCAGAGCTCACAGTTCCTGCCGCTTCAACAGCTTGGGCACCTCGGGGAGCTTCAAAAAGTAGGTGGATGTGGTACCTAAGCACTCTTCAAATTTGGTGGCCAGAAGGGAGGCAACAGAAAGGAATGGCAGGAGAGGAGTGAATGGACAGAGAACAGGGAACTTTTGGCCAGGAGTACTAGGGGGAAACGATGTGTGAGAAGCAAGTGAACTTCAACTAAAAAACTCTGTCTTTTAATTTATGTTGTGTTTCTGTGTTTGTGTGTAGTAATAATGACTAAGCAATGCACTGCATCAGGGAGAACAAGACTGCCACTGATTATAAGGCCTAGAGAAATAAAGTAAAAAAAGAAAAGTATTTGGTTTGACTATGGGAAAATGGTACTGGATTATAGCTACTGCTCTGAATCTCTGAACATCTGCGCACAATTGTCACATCGTAATACCAGAGTTACCAATGCATCAAATTAGCTGCTATAAATTTTATTTTTATTTGATTATGACAATAACATTTTCTCATACACAGGGTCATCCTATGATCTTTGCATCAGATTAGTTGCTATAAGTTTTATTTTTATTTGATTATGACAATAAATTTTTCTCATACACAGGGTCATCCCGTGATCTTACTGAAGCAGCCCAGTTGTCCACTCACAATTTTTAAAAAAGAGCACCCATTGGTAGTGCACAAAGAAAGTATTCAGGAAAGTGCAATAGCTAGAAACCTTCTCTCTGAGGTCTTCCTGAGACAGAAGGATGGAAGGATAGGACCAGGTTACCAGGCTCCTGATTTCTGGAAATGTCCAATTGTTCCAAGCAGCAGAAAACTTGGTGGCAGGGCAAAGTGGCCTGATCCCTTGTTGTCCCCACAGTGCCTTTTTCTGCATCACCCTACAGCTCCCTTCCCTTCCTTTGGTTCATCTGTTGCCTAGGTTCTAGCCTCCTCCCCCTTACCTGAATAGCTGCTGGAAGGAAGTGAACTCTCTGGTCCCCCATTTTGGTCTGGAGCTCCTTCTGCCTCTGCCACGACCACTTCCTTTTTCTCCTCCTTTTCCCTGATCTCAAGTACTTCCTTTTGTAGCTGCTCCATGGTTGATCAGCCCTCAGTGCCACGCCTGCCGGCCCTGTCATAGTTCTGGCATCATCTGTATCTGTTCACAGGTGGACCTCTATAGGGGGCTTTCTTTTAGCCTAGGGAGAAGAGAAAGGGAAACAAGGTTACCAGAAGCAGGGCAGGGGAATGGCAGCTAGCCAGGGGTCCATTCTCAGGGGGCAGTACTCCCACTCTGGAATGCCTGAGATAACAGGTAGACAGCTGAGGAAGAACAGACAGACCTCCTGCTCTTATTAAAGCAGGACTAAAGAGTCTTCTTGAACATATTCCCACAGTTAGCACTCCCTTCGCTCCCACTCTTTGTCATTTCTGCCTGCTGATGGTGAATTGGGGACTGTGGGATTGAGAAGAGCTTCACTGGCCAGAAAAGCATAGCTACCCTCTTCTTCTGCCTCTTCAGAAGCACCTTGCCCATCCATCAAAATGGGAGTCAAGTATCTACAGAGTTCAATTCAACCTGAGAGTGAAAGTCTTATGTTATCATTTGCTTCCCAGGAATCAAGGGCAGGCATTTCAAAGGATGAATACAGGGCTTGGAGTCCCATGATCCCATACTCTGAGAAGAAGAATTTGTGAGGTTCAAGGTCATGATAATTATTTCAATCTATATAATATATTTTTTTAAATCCAGGAGGAGATTTGGAAACAAATAGCATTGTCATCACAACCAGCCTGTGAGGAAGGCAATAGAAGCATTATTATCTCCATTTATTTGATAGGTGAGAAAAAATAAGCTCAAAGAGAAATAAGTGTGAGAGTCAGGATTTGAACCCAAGTCTCTCCCAACACCAATTCCAGTGTTTCTCACTTTCACTATGCTCTCTCTCCACCTGGATACGCAACAAGACAGGAAGTTCAAGTTTCTCAAGGAGGAACCTCTCCTACATCCAAACTGAACAAGTACCATTGACAGACATTGCTCTGAAGCCAGAAGACAGGGTGAGAGGTGGTGTGTGTACAGTTCTCATTTTAGAAAGAATGGAAAATACTGAATACTGTTAGGTACAAATTGATGGTTGCAAAACTGATCAGGATGGTGATAGGTGGTCATTTTTGTGGAATCTAGAAGAAGAGCTAGAGAACAGGAAATTATCAGTTTATACTATACAGTCCAATACTTAATTTTAATTTTTTTCTAACGGGGGCTTTATGGTTTACTCACAACAACCCTGTGAGGCAAGGAGTGCAAGCCCTATAACCTTTTTTGCAGAACTAAGGAAAAAAAAGATGACTTGCCTAAGGTCATATAACTAAGTATCAGAACAAAAATTTGAATTCAAATTTTTCAGAGTCTGAGGTCAATGCCCTTTCTATGACTAGCAAGTTTCAGCAATTTGGGTCAAAAATATTAGGTCATTAGAAAGATATACTCCACAATGGAACTGTTGTAGTTCACCAGATTTTATCGTAGTTTAAATGACATATCCCTCAAAATTATTCAACATCCTTTTGTTTCAATTTCCCGATGGTTATATAGCTTTCTAATTACTAATTTAGTTTCCCAAGTATCTTGATACTGGAGAAGGGACACCCTGAATGAATAGCAGGCTCAGGTATTCTGGTTCCTGCAAAGTTACACTTCCAACTTCCACTTCATTTTTTAAAAAATTTGTATTTTTTTATACTCCTCATTTTCAGCCACCACCACTTCAGTAAATTAATAAACTGGCTTTAAGATTTATAACATCCGGCCTCAGAGACATAACACTCACTAGCTGTGTGACTCTAGGTAAGTCACTTAACCCCAACTGCTTCACCAAAAAAAAAAAAAAAAAAAAAAGACTAATAAAGTTTCTTGTGAGTTTGGCTGGTGTGAATTAGCTCCCTAAAGTAATCAGCATCACCCCAGGTGAATTTATTTAAATAAGCTAGATTTTCTGAACCTGCAAAGCTGAGGGTCAGACTTCAGGACAGTGATAACCCCAAGGTTCAGCTACTCCTAACAAAGCCCATTCTAAAAAAGCCATTACTCATCTTTATCATAAAGGCAAGAGGGTCTAGACCAGCTCTGTTAAACTCAAATACAAACAAATCTCTGTGGGCCACATATTGATTTAGAAAACCACAAATTAACATTATATCTATGTTGTATTATATTTTTATTTCCTTTGTTAAACATTTCCCAATTATATTTTAATCTGGTTGGGCCTCAATGGAGTTTTGCCCAGCCATGAGTTTGATGCCTGTGGTCTAGATGACCTTGCTAGAGTACTGAGCATATCAGGCAAGAACATCCTTTGGGTAAGGGCTTAAAATTCATGCTTAGTAGTTTTAATCTGATCTGAGATTAATCTGAAAAGAAACTAAGGAACCAGAAAGAAAGATGTGACCTTAGAACAAGAAGATCCTTGCTGCCTTGAGTGGGATGGACTGGAAGTGAGAGAAGCCCCTGAGAAAGCTGTTGTAGTAATCCAGGTGTGAAGTAACTGGAGCATGAGCTTGGGCTGTGCTTGTAGAATTGGAGAGGAATAATTTGAGAAATGTAATGAGGAAGAAGAAAACTGACAGGCACAGGCAACAGCCTGGATGTGGAGCATGAACCAAGACTACTTACAGTGCTGCCTTACACGTGGCTCCAAGTTTATGCAAGGCACGGGCCACCATGAGAGTGAAGCTGGGAGGAGGGTAGAAATAATCACCTGGGCTTTAGATCGTTTCAGTGTTAGGTACTGGCAAGCATCTAAGTGGAAATGCCTGGTACACAGGTGAGGAAGGCTTGAAGAGGTGAGGAAACCGGGCTGGACATAAAGACTGAACATCCTGCGTACAAGGGGTGCCAACAAACTAAGTAAATGAGGTCCAGGAGGACACAGGTGGTGCAGGGGATGAAATCAAGGCTCCCACCCAGGACTTGGTCTGATGAGATAGTCACAGTTAAAAGACAATTAGGAGCTCCCATTTTAAGGAATCACAAAGTATTCTGTAAACATCAGTTTGCTATACATTTTAGGGCAATGGCTCGATTTGTGCTCAAGCTTTGTGGTGGGAAACCAAACCAGCTCGGGCTCCTGGAGTGGTTCTGGGGCTCCTAGCTAAAAGTTTTGGCTCAGTGCCAGGACCATGAAAGCCTGTTTTCCTCTCCAGATGTGGGTGTTTGCTCCAGTTGTGCTTCCTTGAGGTCTCTAGCATGACTGAGCAGATGGCTTCAGTCTGGGGGACAAAAACCCACAGACCTCGGTTGCTAAGTATTTATATTTAACTGGCATGTTGCAACCAGTCTGGGTTCTGCCAAAGCCATTCATCTTTATATTCTCTTTATTATTGCTCTGCCAACCACCAATCTACAGACAATGGCAATGGAAAACTGAGGCAAAATAAAGTATACAATCTCACCCGTATCTCCAGCTTGCTGAGCCTCAGGTAGAAATGACAACCTGGACAAAGTCCCTCAAACTACACAGGAACCAGATCCAAAGCCTATGTTTTCCGAGGTATCCCATCCTCCCTCTCCCACAACTGAACCCCTCCTTCCACTTCCTCTCCTCAGCACACTCACCAAAAATAACAGGCCCTTGCAACAAGCTTCGGCATGGTCGCTGCTGCCTCCCACGAGGGCTCAGCACTGACTACACCTCCATCTCATTCTGGTTAAAGTTTCTACGCCCTCTCCCTGCCCCATAGCACCACTTGGTAGTCTGGTATCTCCTGATCATGCAAGCCACACCCCCAGCAGTGGCTCCCTCCCTCCTCAGAGTCAGTACTGGGAGGACAGGCTGAGGGCTACCAGGCGGCCTGTCAGAACAGAGAGTGAATTCTCCAAGGAAGGAATTTCCTGCAAAACAAACTCCCAGGCTGCCCCATTCCCCAAATACAATGAGGAATGAGAAGAACCACTGCTCTGGCCCAAGTTTCTGCCTCGCCTTTGCTTTTGCTATTCTTTATGCCTAGAATTTCTCCCTGTTTCCTGCCCCCTTCCCTTCTTTCCCCCAGTCAAATTCTTCAAAGTCCCATTCTTTGAAATTGTGAGAAATTAATTATTTCTCTCACACTAAATAACCATTAAATCAGTACCAAGGTTTTTCCCTTTTTCTACTTCCTCATCCAGAAACCAACCAGTGTGGGAAATCTCTCTTAGAGATTTACCCAGGCCATGATCTAATCAGACAGTAAAAGAAATTCTAAGTTTGAGCTAATAGGTATATTCCTGCTTATTGTGTCTGCTCAGACAGGTCAGGGAAAATGTTGATTCTCCATATTATCAAGACAAATGAAATGGAGATTGATGTCTCTTTGACCAAGATTGGAATGACCTGTCACCTACCCCAAGACTGCCCACCTCCCATTGTGTTAACCAATCAGAGTTAATCAGGCACCCCTCGGGAACACCTACTCTTCAAAGGGCATATAAACTGCGAGCCCACTGCCATTTAGGGGTCTTTGGTCTAAGAGAGATGGCCAAATACCGTCCTTTTATTAATAATGTGCTGGCCTTATTAACAAAATGATTAAATTACCCAGGAATTATGTCTCTCAAACATTTTGGCGGGGGGCAATTGGGGTTAAGTGACTTGCCCAGGGTCACACAGCTAGTAAGTGTCAAGTGTTTGGTCTGAGGTCGGATTTGAACTCAGGTCCTCCTGACTTCAGGACCAGTGCTCTATCCACTGCACCACCTAGCTGCCCCTCAAACATTTTTAATTGCCACAAAATCTCAACCTCTCCTATGAAACCTTCCCTGATCCACTAGTTGGCAATAGCCTTCCTCCTCTTAGACCTCACACAGCACTGTTTATATAATATTCTATATTATTTTTACTAGTATTATATATAACATGTCACAACCCTCTATTAAACTCTTACGCTCCCTGAGGGAAGAGACTTTGTCTCTATCCAAACTTTGGATCCTCTTAAAGCCTAGCAGTGTTCCACATATAAAATGCCCTATATAAATACCTGTCGAATGAAACTGACCTAATCCTCTGAATGCTCCCAAGGCAGACAAATGTCATAGGCACAGCTCCTCTAAAATGCTCACTTATGTTACAGAGGGAAGTTGAAAAGATTCTCTTCCTTGCCCCTTATCACATTCCACCTAGGATCCTACCTATTGTATGTGTCTTTATCCACCCCCTACAAG